ATGCAATAAATGATATAATTTTATTAATATAACACATTTATCATATAACATTGTGAAGCATGAAGGAAATGATGCTCTAATCTTGTGCTCAGTTCTAGGTACCTCATTCCAAGAAGGACATCATGAAGTTTATCTTCTTCAGCCTTAGAAAGCCTTTCCCAATTTCCTTTACCCCTTCCCTCTGTTGATTATTTCCAACTCATCATGTATACAGCTTGTTTGCAGAGTTGTTTGCAGGCTATTTTCCCCATTAGCCTCCATGACGGTGGATTGACTTGTGCCTTTCTTCGTATCCTCAGCATTTAGCACAGTGCTTAATAAATGTTTATTGACTGACTCACCTCAGTTTCATCATCTGTAAAATGAGATTACCCTAGATTTATAAACCTCTAAGTTCCCATCCAGCTCTAGATTCATTATCCCATGACTCTTTAAGCTACTGTGTTTCGGGAGAAGGGAAGACAGGATCTTGAGAGAAGACCAGTCTATATGACAAGTGGGTGAAAGACTTGAGGGTATTTAGGCTCAGTAAAGTTTAGTGGGTTAAACCAAGAGCATTGTACAAGTATATAAAGGTCTCTTACACATAAAAGAGATTCAACTTGTTCTGTTTAGCCCCACAGAACAGGATGGGGGCAAAGAGTAGAAGCTGCAGATGTAGATAGCATTAAGGAAAAACATCCTAACAATGAGAGCTCCCCAAAATGGAGTGGCCAGCCTGAAACAGTCATGAACTTCCTATTGCAGATGGTAACTTCATGAAAAGTCTGGAGAGCCATTTACTGGGTGTTAATAGAGAGGATGCTTTTGGTTTTCCAGCTGGACAGCTCCCACATTATCTGATACTGCAGTGACATATCTGAGCTGATTAATAATTTCCAGGATGCTTTCTCCTAACTCAAGCAAAAGAAGGGAACAGAAAAGGAGTGAGTCCAATTCCCCTGAAAACTGATACCCCTGGAAAAAAATAATACATCAGCAATCACCGACATGTTCATCTGTGTGAGAATTCTGTCTAGAGAGGCTGAGCAAAAAAATCCATAAGTTAAAGTCTCAGAGAGTTGTCTGAGACTCTAAAGGGTCAGTCAGTTCATAAGCATTGATTAAGTACTTATTACATGCCAGGGACTATGCTAAGCACTAGGGATACAAAGAAAGGCAAAGACATGGCCCTTGACCTCAAAGGGTTCACATTCCAATGGAAGAGACAATATACAAATAACTCCATAGATTTGAGATCTATACACTGTAAAAGGATGATCATCTCAAGGGAAAGGTGCTAGCTGTAGGGGTGAGGGAGAGGGATTGGGGAACTTGGAAAGGCCTCTTACAGCCAAGACTACAAAGAAGCCAGGGGAGCCAAGAGGCAGGAGTGAGGAGGGAGTGCATTTCAGGCACTGGGGACAGCCAGTGTAAAGACATGGCATCACGTATGAGAAGCAACAATTAGGCCAGTTTAGGAGGCATGAAATGACTTACCTAAAATCACACAGCTAATAAGTGACAAAGTCTGAATTAGTACATGGTACCAGACATACTATCAGTACTTAGTACTTTATTAGTACTTGGTATTATAATGTATTTCCAACTGTCTTCATATTATATTAATAGCTAATAATAATAGCTAATATGTATATAGTGCTTACTACGAACCAGGCACTGTGCTAAGTGCATTACAATGATTATCTCTTTTGATCCTCACAGCTGAGGCAGAGTTAAGTGACTTGCCCAGGGTTATATAGCTAGTAAGTGTCTCAGGCTGCATTTGAGCTCAGGTTTTCCTGACTCCAGACCCAGAGCTCTATCCACTGTGACATTTAAGTGCCTATGGAAGGACCCTACCTGTGATTTAACCAATATAGGAACTTCCTAGAAGGGACTCCCTACATCAGTGCAGACACACACCTTTTCAGTAACTTACAGACTTAGAGAATTCCCTAGAACATTGATATTTTAAGTCTTTTACCCAGGGTCCCATCACCCATATCAGAGGGAGAACTTGAGCCCAGGTCTTTCAGTGCTGTATCTTCTAAGACATGTTGTTGAGCCACATCTGACTCTTTGTGACCCCACTTGGAGTTTACTTTTCTTTTTTTTTTAACCATGTAACACAAATTGGCTTTTATAAGAACAAATATAAAAAATAATTCTTCTGAACATCTCAGGGGCATAATTCCCCCTATATTTACCTCAGTCTATGCAGGAAAGGAGAGATTAGGCTCAAAACATAGGTAGCAGAGATACTGGAGTGGTTTGCCATTTCCTTCTCCATCTCATTTTACAGATGAGTATACTGAGGCAAACAGGGTTAAGTGACTTGTCCAGGATCACAAAACTAGGAAGTACCCGAGACTGGATTTGAACTTAGGAAGATGAGTCATCTTGACTCCAGGCCCAGAACTGTGCACCACATAGCCGCCCCATTATGCCTTTTACAAACTATTCATTTTTTAAAATCAAGTAATCACTATAAGACATGTATGAATGTAATTGTGAGCCTGTTTTAAACATAGATAAACCACAAAGTCTCCAATTTTAAAAATAAAATTAGCTGCTTCATAGTAGTATATTTAAGAGTCCTTTCCATCTCTGTGAATCTAACAAAAAACAGCAACATGATTGCCTTGGAGGGGAATTCAATATCTCATTTCTAACAGCTAGACTCCCAGGAATCAAATAGCATTTTGTATTTTTAAAACTGCCCGTTAAAAATAGACACTGCATACTGAAATCAGATTGCTTCTGATTATGGTAATCTACAGGAGAAAAAAAAAATACTCCATTGTAACAGAGATACGATGAAATGGTAATGTGGCAGTTGTCACCTCCCAGGAAGCTTCACTTCAGGCGGTTCCGTAGCCTCTCATTTTCCCTAGCCAGAGACAGCACACTGCCCCTTAGTTTCACACCATCCGAACCATTGTGTACAGAAACCAGCTTTCTCTAAGAATCAGAAGAGACTGACAAAGAAGTGATGGACTAAATATGCACAACGAAATATATTCAATGAATGTGGTCAGAGCAGGAATTTGTTTTGCTTCATGATGCATTTGTATTACAAAGGTTTTGTTTTTCTTTTTTTAATAGGGGGCATGGGAAAATTAATTTTTGTTCATTGAAAATAAACAATTTTATTTAAAAAACAAAATGAGAGAAACTAGGAAAATCTTTTAAGTCATTACTTTGACATTGGTAAGCCCAGATGATTTCAGAGCTTGGATTACTGATTTCCAATCAGCACATCAAATTATACACATTATGGGAAAAATAATTTTCTTTTAAAAGGGAAGGGGAACATGTTCCTATGTGTGATGCTGATGAAGCACCAATTTTGATTGAAAGATTCTCAAGGGACATTTCAAAAATTTAATGTATGAGACTTGATCAAACTTAACCTCAAATTACGCTATAACCATTTGAAATGCAATAGAGAGATCTTACCTCTAGGTGGCAGCATTTGTGAACTCATGACTAAGTGACTAGTAGAAGTGTGGCGGATTTCTAGATTAGAAGAGTTAGTTTCTTGGTCACATTACTGCTTCCAAAGAACCATAATCCACATGAGGAAGAAATGGCAGAGGAAAGTCTACATAATTCATACTTTTAACATTCTTTAAAAAAAAATCCAAACCTGTGATTCCATCCCTGTGGGAGACTCCCAGAATGGAAATTCCCTCCATTACCTTTGGTTATCAGCTCCTTCGTTATTAATCAGAGGCTCACAGATTTAGAGTTAAAAGGAACCTCAGTAGCCAAGCAGTCCAACCTCTTCATTTTACAGATGAGGAAACTGAGGCCCAGGGAGATTAAATGACTTGCCCAAGGTCACACATATAATGCATATCAAACTGGGAATTTGAACCCAGGTCTTTTGATTTAAGAGTCAGAGTTCTTTCCAGGGTACCATGATCAATGAGTATTTATTAAATGCTTATTGTTTGCCAGACACCATGGTAAGTCCTGGTGACACAATGAAAAAGCAAAAAGAGTCCCTGCCCTCACTGAGCTTACATTCTAATGGGGGAGACTACAAATACATAAGAAGTAAATGCAAGAGAGAGTAGATGAAAGACAACCATATTTATGATCACAGAGCCAGGATACATGTGAGGCAGGCATGGTACACAGTTCTTTCATACTCTGAAGCCAGTTCTCCCAACATGATCCCCCACTGTTTCTCTTTGTAATTTAAATGCAGTGATAAAATGGGCTCAATCACTTTTGCGTTTCTACATTTCTTTAACTGGCTGAAAATGATCTCCAAGGAATCAGTGAAAAAATCACTCTTATAAGCACTTCTCCTGCTCTCATTATTTAGAGCCTTAGACCTAAACTCTTATGAGCAAGTTGCACCATACATGGAGAAAATGGACAGCAGTTTGAGAACAAGGATATTGAATGAATGGTCAATCAGTTCTAGATCTTTAAATATCTAATGAGAGACTTGAATGAAGGTTGAAAAGTTGGGCCTTTTTTTTTCCTTCACAGCTGTTAAAACTTTTATAATAGAATTAAGTACTTCTAAATTTTTTTTCATTTTTATCAATTTCTTTCATTTCTAAGCATCTTTACTTCCGATTTATTTTCCCCTTCTTCCCATATTCAGTGAGCCATCCCTTATATTAAAAGGGGAGTGAGAGAAAGGTGGGGAGGGAGGGAAGAAAAATAGGAAGACTAATCAACATACTACCAAAATCTGGCAGTATATGTAATATTCCACATTCATGCTCCTCAACCTCCGCTAAGAGGGGAGGATGTTTCATCACCATCTTTTACTGGAGATTAAAGGCATCTGAATCAATAACCAACTACTCCCAAATTTACCCTGATGGGAACCCATGGAAACCAACTCCATGAGAATCCAGTTGGCTGTTTGGTAATCTGGCTGTCACACAATCAGAATTTTAAGTACAACTTATGTTTCAATGTGATGCAGAAAGGGACTAAAGCAAGTGGAGCCTTGAGTCACACCATTTCTCAAAGAAGCTAAAAGCTCTTACCTGTTGTATCTTGACTAAGAGTCTCTTGGCTGCTGCTGCTGTAAGAAGGCACTGGAGTGATGGACAGTGAAGCTGGGCAAGACAAAGGGGTCGCTATGTCAGTCTTTCGAGTGAAAGATTGGTGATACACAGGAATGCCTGCATCTTTGGAGATGAAGAGTGGCAGATCGGATGACAGTGGAGGTCCACCTTGAGCATATGGGTTCTTCCAGTGGGACAACCCAATAGCCACTGGCCCAGCAACATCATAACCTGGCAATATAAATATCTTAAGTCAGTACAAGCAAGTCAGGCAATATCACATGCTGCTCCATTATATATTTTACATAGCCTTTACCAGTGATGTCACCCAAAGAAAGTCCTCCTTAAGGCAGTCCCAATCCCTAGAGTAACAATAAGGATAATTTGTGGTCCAGACCCATGATTTCATGGGTGTAAGGAACTCTCCAGAGAAGAGACTCCCACTAGCAATGCAGATCAGCACCTAGACAGTAACTTGAATTCAACAGCTCATCTGTAAATTAAAATCTTAAATATGAAGACAAAACAGCAACATCATCATCCAGAAGCACCATAGTTGGCCTTGGAGGAAGACCTGTGGTCAAGTCCCACTTCAGATATAGACATGATGGGTCATCCTGGACTTTACTTCTCATTGCTTTGGCTACTCTCTTAGATGAGAGTGCAGAGAAGGTGCTGACCTACAACTGGTAGAGGAAGGTTTTTTTTTTTAATTGGGAGTTTCCTACATCTATAAAGTTACAGATCACACTCCCTTCTCAAATGATTATGTTGATAAACTGACCTCTGTATAGCATTTTAATATTTGCACAGTATCTTACATGAGCCTCTCGACAGTCCTGTAAGGCAGGCACTATAGATGTAATTATCCCCATTTTGCAGATGAGAAAACTCAAATTCAGAGATATAATGTTAATCCAAGTTTCAAGGTCACAGAGAAGGGCTAACATTCAAATCCAGGTCATAAATCTAGAACTGGTATGGTAGTTACCTGAGAGACCATGTAGTCCAATCTAGTCATTTTGCAAAAGGGAAAACCAAGGCCCAGAGAGCCCAAGTTCATATAAGTAATAAGAGCCAGGATTTGACTTCATGACCTCCGACTCCAAATTCAGTGCATCTTCCACTGTATTGTGTTGCCAAAACATTATGAGTCATGAGCATAAGATTAAGGAGTTTGGACTTCACTCTTCAGATAGTTGGAACCATTGAGGCTTTTGATCAAGGCATGGTATGAAAGGATAAGACTAGGGTAGAGACAGCAATTAAGAGACTAACACAATAGCCTAGCCAACTGGCAAAGAAAAAAGATCAGAATTAGATCGGTGGCAACTGCAACGGAAAAGAAAGGAAAGAGAGGAGGGCGGAGCCAAGATGGCAGAGTAAAAGCAGTGACTTACTTGAGCTCTCCCCCAAACCCCTCCAAATACCTATAAAAAATGGCTATAAACAAATTTTAAAGCAGCTGAACCCACAAAAAGACAGAGCAAAACAAATTTCCAGCCCAAGACAGCCTGGATGGTTGATCTGAAAGGTATATCACACCTGGCTGGGAGAGGAGTGCAGTTTGGTGTGGGCGAGCAGGATGCAGAAACCCTGGAGCAGGCCTCAGAGGACTGAATCGCAGGCAGCTGTGGTAGTTTCCACACTTCTCAACCCAGGAATGCCAAAGACAACTTGGAAGGTCAGTGGTAAAAGTGTGTGTCAGCAGGGAGAGAGAGAAGCCGGTGGTCTCAGCTCCAGTCCCTGAGTTTGGTGGGGATAGCGGCTGCCTCCTGAGATTCCGGCCCACAGCCTGAGGGGGAATCGAGTTGATGATCAGAGGGGGATTGCAGGGATCTCTCTGCTGGTGCAGGATTCTCTTGCTCTGCCCATGCTTTGATCTGGGTCACAGTTCTGGGTGGCAGTCCTAGGGCAAGGAGGAGCACTGGCGTGGTGGAGCTTGTAGTGGCTGTGGAGAAGAAATCCTCCTCACAGTTCCAAGACAGAAAAGAGTGCTCAAAGAACAGAGCACAGGCCAGGAAAGGAGTAAACACCTTGCCCCTGATCATACCACCTTGGAAGAACTGAAAATTTGCAGGTCCCTAGAAGTATCTCTGAACACAGCTGCACAAAACCCCTGAAGCTTGGGACAGTACATTCTCCACACTGGAAACAGACTGCTACCTTAACAAAGAGTTTGTAACTCAAGTAATTGGCTGGGATCATGAGCAAGCAGCACAAAAAGAGTCAGACTATATTATCTTACTTTGATGACAAAGAAGATCAAAACATACAACCAGAAGAAGACAATGAAGGCAAAGCTCCTACAACCAAAGCCTCCAAGAAAAATATGAATTGGTCCCAGGCTAAAGAGCTCAAAAAGGATTTTGATAAGCAAGTAAGAGAAGTATAGGGAAAACTGAGAGTGATGCTAAAGGAGTCCCAAAAAAATACTGAAGAAAATAACACCTCAAAAAATAGCCTAACCCAAATGGCAAAAGAGGTCCAAAAAGCCAATGAGAAGAATGCCCTTAAAATCAAAATTAGCCAAATGGAAAAGGAAGTCCAAAAGCTTACTGAATAAAATACTTCCTTAAAAATTAGAATGGAGAAATTGGAAGATAGGGGCAATTTGAGAACTCAAGGCACTGTAACACTAATCTAAAGGAATGAAAAAATAGAAGAGA